ACATCTTCAAGTCCAGTATACTGATATATGTATTTGTAATACCAGCACTCGGGCAGTAGAAGATCAGGAGTTCAAGGTCATCCAAGTCTACATAGTAAGTACCAGGCCAGCCTGGACTACAAGAGACACTATCTCAAAAAAAAAAAAAAAAAAAAAGGAAAACAATAAAATAAAAAGGCCAGGCACAGTGCTACACACTTTAATCCAAGCATTCAGGAGGCAGAAGCAGGAGGATCTCTGTGAGTGAGTTCCAGGAAAGTCAATAGAGAGAGAGAACCTATCTCACTCCCTACCCCCCAAAAAAGTTCCCTGTACTCCCATCTGTGGCATAGATTATCCTAGGCACCATGAGGTGGCTGAAAGCCCACCTTGGACCAGATGAGGCACAGCTAGCCAAGTTTGGTGTCGGTAGAGGCTGCTGTCCCCAAAGGGCACCTGCAGTGTTTGTGGGAAAAGTATAAATCTGCCACTGACTCTCATCTTCCTGAAACTAATGACTCTGGTGATTAGCAAAGTAGGAGCACAGCTATGAGTATAAAGGAAAAACATTTAATTGATGTGGCAGCTTACAGTTCAGAGGTTCAGTCCCATGTCATCATAGTAGGGAGCATGGCAGTGTACAGGCAGACATGGTGCTGGCTACATCTTGATCAGAAGGCAATAGGAAGTGGACTGTCATTCTAGACAGTATCTTGAGCAAATATGAGACCTCAAAGCCCACCTTCATAAAGACATACTTCCTCCGGCAAGACCACACCAACTCTAACAAGGCAACACCTCCTAATAGTACCATCCCTTTGGGGGCCATTTTCTTTTCAAACCACCACATGTCCTAAACATTAACTCGAGGTCAGGTGTGGTGGCACCTGATGGCCTGGACTACATAGTGAGACACTTTCTCAAAAAACAGCAACAACAGGAAAAAGATGCATAGAATGGGAACTTAATGTTTGCAAAGTTTGTGATGGTAAATGACCAGAAGCTGAGTAGGAAAGTTTAAGTAGACTTGCCCTGAGGTGTGAGGTCTTTATCTCATAGAGAGAAGAATGGAAGCAGAACACTGTAGCAGAGGCAGCTGCTGCTGGAATTCTGAAGGGACCCCTCTTCATCCCGTCAGTCACAAAGTCAGAAGTCACTCATGGGATAGGGAGAGACTCGCTGAAGCTGAAGACTATCAGTAGCTCCTAAAGACTGTTTTTATAACTGGGGGTGGTAATGCATGCCTTTAATCCTAGCACTCGGGAAGCAAAAGCAGGTGAATCTCTGAGTTCGAGGCTAGCCTGATCTACAGATCAAATTCTAAGACGGCCAGGCCTACACAGAGAAACCCTATCTCAAAAAACAGAAAACAAACAAGCAAAAGAACTGTTTTGATGGTTCCCAAGAAACTCTCCATCTCTCCCCTAGAACTCCCTTGAGATTGGGTGTTAACAGTCTGTGTGAAAAGTCAGCAGAGCCACAGAAGGGCCTCTCAAGAAAAGAGCGCCCAGGAGGTACCAGAGCACACTGTTCCTGAACTTGGTTCTTGACTTCTTTCAGGAACTGCTAAAAAGAGTAAGATCCTTTCCAAGGAGGAGCAGAGAGTGGTTGCCTTCCATGAGTCTGGCCATGCCTTGGTTGGTTGGCTGCTAGAACACACAGAAGCTGTAATGAAGGTGGGTTGTGATGAAAATGGTGATAGGCATTGTGCATACAGACCTTTGCACATCTGGTCTGGAAAACACACCACATGTGTTTGTGTTATGCAAGAAATTTTATCACCAACTTTGCATGATTCTGACTGGAGTGGGTCCTAAGCCTCAGTTACCAGGCATGAGGGGAAAGTTTCCTATGTCCAAGGCCTCTGTCCTTGCCCACTTGAGCCTCATGGCGGAGAGCTGAACTTGTTTCTGCTCAGATGGCAAATGGTTATTTGAGATAGTTTCCAGAAATCATGTAGACTGTGCATAGAGACCCTTGAGGAACCCAGGGATATGGGACAAGAAATGTGGCATCTGGTTTATCCTCTAGGGAGGTCTGAGGAGCTCTGACAAGTAGCAAGTGTCCCATAAGGGCTTTGTGGCTCCACTGTTTCCACCCCAGCCATGCAGGATAAGACAATGCAGCAGGCAGCCAACTGCCCGTATGTACACTCTTGCTCAGTTTCAGCTGCTATTTTCAGAGCTAACAACATATTGGCTGGTCTCTTTGAAGCAGAGTGGAGCAGTCCCTTCTGTGTTCCTGGGGTTGGCAGGAGGTTAATCTCAGCACTCAGGTGCACAGGCAGGCAGATCTCTGTGAGCTTGAGACCAGCCTGGTCTACAGAAGTAGTTCCAGAACAGCCAAGGGCAACACAGAGAATCTCTGTCTCAAAAACAAGACCAAATTTTCTTTTTGCTGGGTGGTGGTGGTTCACACCTTTAAATCCTGACTCAAAAAAAAAAACAAAACAAAATTTTTTTCTTTTATTTTTTTTTAAAGATTTATTTATTTATTATGTATAAAGTGTTCGGCCTGCATGTATGCCTGCAGGCCAGAAGAGGGCTTATTACAGATGGTTGTGAGCCACCATGTGGTTGCTGGGAATTGAACTCAGGATCTCTGGAAGAGCAGACAGTGCTCTTAACCTCTGAGCCATCTCTCCAGCCCAATTTTTTTTCTTTTTATTATTTTGTTATGTGTGGGTATTTTGGCTACATGTATGTCAGTGTACCACATACATGCCTAATGCATTGGATTCTCTTGAACCAGAATTACAGATGGTTGTGAACTACTAAACCATCTCTCCAACCCCCATCTTTTTTTCTTTCTGGCAGTTCTGGGGATCCAGCCCAGAGCCTTGCACATGCTAAGCAAGCTCTTTACCACTGAATTGTAGACATGCCCTGAACTTTGAATATTAATACTAGCTTCTATATGGGGCCTGCATAGACTTCCCCCAACCACTTTTCTTTGTAATACAGCAGCTTCTCCTTGGCCTGCCTCTTCCTCAGATGTCTGACATTGGATTGTAGGGGAATAAGGAGGGTCAGGTGGCCTCCCTTCCTTGGGTACATTCTGGAGTTTCCCATGGGTCAGTGCTAACTGGCATGTGAGGTGATTGCTTCTAAGAGACCTGTCAGTCTGACTTCCTAGTCACACAGTGCTACTGAGGAACGTACCATACAGAAATTCCTGTTTCGATGAGCTGCCTTCTGCACTGTGAGGATTCTCTAAGAATTGAATGTGCCAGTGAGTCTGACTAGCTACTTGGCAACCTGTGGTGATGGTTTTAGGAGGCTCCTGCCTCACTTTGAGATCACTTGCTCCCTGCTCTATTGTTCTTCCTCAGGTCTCCATAGCACCTCGAACAAATGCTGCTCTGGGCTTTGCTCAGATGCTCCCTCGGGACCAGTACCTCTTCACCAAGGAGCAGCTGTTTGAGCGGATGTGCATGGCACTAGGCGGTCGCGCAGCTGAGGCCATCTCGTTCAGCAGGGTTACATCTGGTGAGGAGACGGGCGTTGGGGTGTGGCTTTGTCAAAGTACTCTAATGCCCGTTTCCTTCTGCTCAGTGTGCTTGGTAGGGTGAGACTGGCAGAAGATGTGTGCACTGCAGATGTAGTTTGAGCCAGAGGGGACTTGGAACTAAGCAAAAGCATTGCTTTTTTGTTTATTTTGGTTTTGGTTTTCATTTGTTTTTTTGTTTGGTTGTTTTTGTTTTTTTTTTTGGTTGTTTTTTGTTGTTGTTGTTGGGGTTTTTTTTGATTTTTCGAAACAGGGTTTCTCTGTGTAGCTTTGGAGCCTATCCTGGCACTCGCTCTGGAGACCAGGCTGGCCTCGAACTCACAGAGAGCCACCTGCTTCCTGAGTGCTGGGATTGAAGGTGTGTGCCACCACTGCCTGGCCACAAAAACTTTAGTTTAAGATACTTATTTTAAAACTTTCATATAGATGGACTATAAATACATTTGCTTGGATAACGACTGGATGTAGACATATAACTACATAGAACTGGATATTAGAGCATTCACTAGATATCCAGAAAAGTCAGAGGGGTCTCAGAGACATTATGCCCCAAAAGTGACAGGGTTCCCAAGTATAGACCTGGCCATATGCTCGAGTGTGTCGCTGATGTAAGGCAAGTCGGTGTCCTGAGCACGTAAGTTTTCCTTTAAGAAGCAGTAATGGCGACTGAACTGGAATACAGATGCAGAGAAGGACTGATGAGCAAAGCGGTCCAGACCAGGCTGGTGAAACCCACAGAAACAGCTGACCTGAACATCAGGGAACTCTTGCTCCCCAGACTGATAGCTGGAATACCAGCATGGGACTGATCCAGACCCCAGGAACATGGGTGTCAGTGAGGAAACCTTAGAAATCTACGGGACTTCCTATAGAAGTTCAGTACTTATCCCTAGCATAGGTGTGGACTTTAGGAGCCCATTCGACATAGAGGAATACTCCCTGAGCCAAGACACACGGGGGTGGGCCTAGGCCCTATCCCAAAGGATAAGATAGACTCTGATGACACCCTATGGAAGGCCTCAACCATCCAGGGGGAGCAGAAAGGGTATGTGATAGGTAGGGTTTCAGTTGGGGGGGAGGAGGGATGGGGGAGGTAACTGGGATTGTCATGTAAAACAATCCTGTTTCTAATTCAAATAAAAAACATCTGCAAAAAAAAAAAAAAAAAGCAGCAGTAATGGCTCAGCAGATAAAGGGGCTTGCTGTCAAGTCTGCTGACTGGAGGTCAGCTCCTGGAACCCATGTTGTGAAGTAAGGGAACCAACTCCTGCAAGCTCTTCTAACATTTGCCTGTGTGTGGACAAGCACACATAGAACAAAAATAAATATAATAAAAAAAAAGTATATTGGGGTTGGCAAGATGTCTCAACAGTTAAGAGTACTGATTGCTCTTCCAGAGGACCTGGGTTCAATACCCAGCACCTACATGGCAGCTCAATACTATCTGTAACTCTAGTTCTAAGGGACCCAACACCCTCACATAGACATACATGCAGGAAAAACACTAATGTACATAAAATGAAAATCAATTATATTTTAAAGAGAGAGAGAGAAAGAATAACAAGGTTCTATGTCCCGGTCAGTGTCTTGCAATGGAAGTTGTAAGCATAATATTCTGGGATGTTTGGGTGCTGCTTGGTCTGGCCAGCCTGAAGTCTGGTGCTCCTATCCGCATGTGCTCTTCAGAATACCTCCTTTTCTTGGCTCCAGGGGCCCAGGATGACTTGAGGAAGGTTACCCGCATTGCCTACTCCATGGTGAAACAGTTTGGGATGGCACCTAGCATTGGGCCTGTTTCCTTCCCTGAGGCACAAGAGGGCCTCGTGGGCATTGGACGACGTCCCTTCAGCCAGGGCCTCCAGCAGCTGATGGACCATGTGAGTGGACACAGGCCTTACTGCCCATGGAGAAGAAACATCTGGGCCTCCTGCAGCGGCCTGCTAGCACCCTCAGATGAGCATGTATTGAAGGCCTAATGTGGCTGGTGTTTTGTTCTGGACTCTGACCTGTTCAGTGTGTTCTCTTGGGTGAGGACCTAGATGGTTCCAAATAAAGCTAGATGTAGAACCGGGAAGAATGTCCAATAAGGATGCCAAGTGGTCGAGCAGTGCACATGATCCCGATAGCCCACAAGCTGGGCCAGTGTGGCACCTGGGTCTCTTCAGGGTCACTTGCAGTGGCTTGTGCAATGAAGCAGCTGTGAGTTGCCCAGTTGCTCTCTCCAGGGTGAGGTTAGCTGGTGGGTGTGCATCCTTTAGACAGAATAAGAGCAGAATACATTGCTGCTGTGTATTGTGAAGATGGGCCTGCTCCTGAACTGTGTTTTTTGCACCTTTGTTTTAGAGCTGGCTGTCAGTGAGTCTGTAAACTATGTTTTAGACCTTTCTCGTGACAGACTTACCTCTTTCTTTACAGGAAGCAAAACTGCTGGTGGCCAAAGCCTACAGACACACTGAGAAGGTGCTACTAGACAACCTGGACAAACTGCAGGCGGTGAGGGCATGTGGGCCCAAGCATCCCCAATGCATCTCAGGAGCCCCTAGAAGTGTAGGGGACAGCATGGTCAACACTGATACCCCTATTCATCTAGAATGTGTTTTCTGTTTTCTTGTTATAATCATATCAAGCCTGTTCATTCTGAGGAGAATTTTCTCTACCCTTATGCACATGTTATGTAGCACTAGCAGCAATCAACATTGAATTTTAGGAGTTTTCCAGCACTTAACCTTTTTCTCTTGGAAAAAAAATAGCTACTTTTAAAGTTTATTCTTAAGATAATTTGTTTAGGCCAGCGTTGGTGGCACACACCTTTAGTCCCAGCACTTGGGAGGCAGAGGCAGGTAGATCTGTGTGAGTTTGAAGCTAACCTGGTCTACAGAGCGAGTTCCAGGACAGGCTCCAAAGCAATACAGAGAAACCATGTCTCGAAAAACAACAACAAAAAAGGTAATTTGTTTGCCGGGCTTTGGTAGCACATGCCTTTATTCCCAGCAAAAAATATTCTTAATTTTGTATATATGTATAAGTATCTGCACTTGAGTGCAAGTGACCACAGAGGCCAGAGGAAGGCATTGGTTGTCTTGGAGCTGGAATTCAAGCAATTGTGAGCCACTGACTGGAGTACTGAGAAAGGAATTTGATTCCTCTGCAAGAGTAATAATTGCTTTTCTTCTCTTTCACTACCTTCTTCTTTTGTGGGTTCTTTGTTTGTTTTTTTGAGACAGGGTCTCTATACATAGTCCTGGCTGTCCTAACTCACTGTGAACCAAGCTGGCCTCAAACTCACAGGGATTTTCTTGACTCTGCCTCCCAAGTGCTAGAATTAAGGTGTGTTACACTCTACCCAGTAAGTATATGCTCTTAACCACAGAGATGTCTCTCCAGACCTCCCTCAAACTTTTTTAAAAATCTTTTTTCATTTTATAATAGTTTTAGATTCAGAAAAGCTATACATATATATGCCCTACAGTTACCATCTCCCTTAGTATAGGATTCCTCACCCCAGCAGCCTCACACAGACACATATCAACTGAGCCATTAGTGGATTCGCACCTGCTCACCTGGATCCCACGGGACATGCAGGCATTATATCTCCTTATACTCCTCTTGCCTGTGACCATATCTCAGACTTCCTTGGTTTCAGTAACAACAGGTATCCTAAGGATAGCACATACCTACAGGATGTCTAGTATATTAACGTGGGCAGCCAGCTTTTTGGAGGACAGCTTTCTTTGCTTTCTTAAAATGAGGCAGTTGAGCCAGGCATTGTTGGCACAGACCTGTCATCCCAGCTCTCTGAAGGTAGAAGCAGAAGGATAGTTGAGTTCATGGCCAGCTTAGCCTACAAAGTAAATCTTGCTTCCAAAAGGAAAAAATATCTTAAATTAAAAAAAAAAAAAAGGCATGGTGGCACATACCTTTAATCCCAGCACTCAGGAGTCAGAGACAGGCAGATCTCTCCAAGTTCGAGTTCAGCCTGGTGTGCAAAGCAAGTTCCAGGACAGCCAAGGCTATTACAGAGAAAAGAGGCAGCTGCTATGTTAGGTTGGAATCTTGTTTCAGGCCCTCAGAGTATTGGTCCTGGACCAGATCTGCCTTACTAGATCTTATGGCAGTACAGTGTCTGCCATAAGAAGTAAGTAAGTAGCCTCTGCCTAGTAAGGAGCCAGTGTTACTGTGTTGGAAAGAGGGTGGGAGTTTGGCAAGATCACCCATGGGTATCACACTGACTGCAGAATGGAGCTGCCTCTATTTGGGCTGAACTGCAATGAATAGGTTTTAGTCTAGTGACAGATTAGGGCAAAGGGGGAACTATACCTCTTTCAGTATGGCTATAGACATCACCCTAGTGCCTAGCATGTAAAAGAAAAAGAAAACGTGGGAGAGTTTTCCTTTTTTTTAATTTATTTTATTTATTTATTTTTTGGTTTTTCGAGACAGGGTTTCTCTGTATAAGCTTTGGAGCCTATCATGGCACTCGCTCTGGAGACCAGGCTGGCCTCGAACTCACAAAGATCCACCTGCCTCTGCCTCCGAGTGCTGGGATTAAAGGTGTGTACCACCAACGCCCGGCTGGAAGAGTTTTCTTTTAAATATTGTTTTTAGGTTTATTTATTTATTTATTAATGTTTTGCATGTACTTGAGTGTGCAGGAACCTTCCGAGGTCAGAAGAGGATGTATTCCCTTAGAATTGGAGTTACAGGCAATTGAAAGCTGCCATGCAGGTGCTGGGAACCAAACCCAGGTCTTCTGTATGAGTAGCAAGGACCACCCTTAACCTCTGAGTTGGAAGAGTTTTGGTTTTTTTGTTGTTTTGAAATAGGGTCTCACTATGTAACCCTAGCTAGCCTGGAACTAGGGTGCCCTCAATCTCATGAACCTGCCTTTTTCTCTGTCTCTGGTGTGCTGGGGTTAAAGATGTGTTCCACCATACCCAGCTCTTGGAAGTGTTTTCTTAACCAGCAAGACATAGCAGGATGTGGCCACAGACACAGGACCTTTAGGATAAAAATATTTTCTGGGCCAGACATGATAGCATATGCTTGTAATCCTGGCATTCAAGAAGTTGAGACAGGGGCTGGAGAGATGGCTCAGAGGTTAAGAGTACTTGTCAGCTCTTCCAGAGGTCCTGAGTTCAATTCCCAGCAATGACATGGTGGCTTACAACCATCTGTAATGAGATTAGGTACCTTCTTCTACTGTGCATGAAGACAGAGCACTCATGTATATAAAATACATTAATAAATATTTAAAAAAAATTTAATCCCAGCACTCAGGAAGCAGAGGCAGGTTGATCTCTGAGTTTGAGACCAGCCTGATCTACAAGAGCTTCCAAAGCCACAGAGAAACCCTATCTCGAAAAACCAAAAAAAAAAAAAAAAGTTGAGGCAGGAGCATAGCAACGTTGAGGTCAGCCAGAGATCACACACATACACATTCCTGTCTGGGAATATGGGAATATAATAATAGGGATGAAGATGATGATGATGTTAATGTTCAGAACTGTATCCAAAGTAGCAGAAATCCCTCCCCAGTTGTGTCAGTGCCTATTTCCACAGATTCCAAGCACGAGGCTCTGTATTTAGCATCCCGCCTGTCTCTCCCAGACACACATACCTTGTTTGGTGAAGGAAATTGCAGTTGCCAGAAATAAGCAGAGGTTTTGAAAGGAAATAGAAAAATTAATGAGGCTGGCAGCTGACAGATCACTTTTAGGGTAAAGACAGGGAGCAATTCTTTGCCTGAACTGCCTTTGCGCCTGTGTCTCTCTGGGAAGGTGGCCTTTCTGAGGCATCCTGCTCACAGACTAGCCCTCCTACTTTCCTGGGACACAGAGACATTCTGTGGGATGGGTTTCCATCTCTGATGCTCTGCCCTCCAAAGCTCTTGTTTTTTCCAGGGCACTCACACACTGCCGTGTTTGTTCTTTCTAGCTGGCGAATGCGCTTCTGGAAAAGGAAGTGATAAACTATGAGGACATTGAGGCCCTCATTGGCCCACCGCCCCATGGGCCAAAGAAAATGATTGCACCACAGAAATGGATTGACGCTGAAAAGGAAAAACAAGCCTTAGCAGAGGAGGAAGCTCCGGCTCCCTAGCCCCCACCTCCAAGACCCAGACAACTACTTCCTCGACTGCACCTGCAGTTATCTCAGAACTTGTTGGCAAGCTGCCGTCAGCCTCCAAGAGTATTTTCACCTGAACTTGAACCTCAACCTCTGTTAGCTCTCTCTGGTTTCTGACAAAAACTTCTGATGTCTATTTATTGGTTCAGGATTAGTAAATCATTTGCAGAGACAACTGACCTTTCCATATGTAGTGCTTTCCTTGTGAGGAGTGTGCATGCTTGAGTCTAGTCCCTGGGGCTTCAGATGCTGCCTCCATGTGTGGCTCTGTAGGTCTGAAGGTAGCCCATCAGTTGGACTAAATGATCCCCTGTTTGTGTCTTGGACTCCCTCAGAATGCTAATAGGATCCAAGATGAAAGACCCTCTGAGCTGACTGTCCTCATCACCGTGCTCACTCATTAAGTTGGGAACAGGCACTGTTGGAAGATGCAAATACTGCCACCTACTGCTATGTGCAAGTTGTGCAAGTGGAGAATTTCCCCTGCCTTGTTCTTATGTAGAGAGTGCCTTGACTTCCACCACCAAAATTGATTCCTCGCACATTTTGTGATAGAGAATCCACATTTGAGCTATGCAGCCATGGGTCTTGTTTTCACTTTATACCTTGAGCTCTTTGTGTAGACATCTGAACTCAAACCATGTAGGGTGAGCCACAGGCACTTGCTGGTTCATAGTTCCTGCCTGCGGTGCCTCCACTCTTCCTGTGCAGTGGCATTTGGAGCATGGGTTACAGTGACTTCCTGTCAGAGCAAATTGTTGTTATTGCCCAGCACTCTGCACCTGAGGAAGCTTCTGGGCAGTAGGAAGCAGTAGCAGGACCACCAAGAGCAGCTGGAGTGATTCAAGGGGCTTAAGAACATTTTACATTCGATCTGAGTTCTAGTTCTTACCAAAGTTTAGCACATAATTAGGTTTTACATTTCTCTAAAGCGGTGTCTTAAGCAAGCATGATGACTCTGCAAACCTGTTAACCCGACTTCAATTGCTGGACTCCTATAGTTGTCCTCTGACCAGTCCATGCCAAGGCACAAATATACCCGATCCATACACACAAAATAATTGTGCCAGGCTTGGTGGCACAACCCTTTAGTCCCAGCACTTGGGACACAGAAACAGACGCTGATGAGTTTTGAGCCCAGTCTGGTTGACTTACAGAGTTCCACACCAGCCAGAGCTACATAGTGAGACCCTATCTCTAAAATAAAGTGAATAACAACAAGCCAACGTAAAACTGTCACCCATTGAAACAGTCCCAGCTGCCTACCTTTTTTTTTCTTTTTAGATTTTGAAATTTTATGTGTATAAATATTTCGTCTGAATGTGTATATATGTACCACATGCAGTACTTGGTGCCCATGGGTGTCAGACAAGAGCACTAGATCTCCTGGACTGCAGTCAAGAATAGTTGTGACCACCATGTGGGTACTGGTAATCAAACCCAGGCCTCTGCAAGAACCACTGAGCCATCTCTCCAACCCTAATTTTTGTTTTTTTGAGACCAGGTCTCGGCCCTGGCCTACATCAAAATGTTTCTTTCTGCCTTCTGATTGCTTGGATTATGGGTGTGTACCACCAAATCCAGCAAAAAACACTATGCGACTCTGATACGATTTTTTTTTTTTTTTTTTTTTAACAATCAGAATTGGGGGCTGGAGAGGAATGGCTCAATGGTTAAGAGTTTACTCTCCTTTTGTTGTTCATTTTCTATGTCTTTTGTTTGTTTTTTGTTGTTGTTGCTGTTTTGTTTTTTGAGACACAGTTTCTCTGTAGCTTTGGAGCCTGTCCTAGAACTCAGTCTGTACACCAGGTTGGTCTTGAATTCAGAGAGATCTGCCTGCCTCTGCCTCCCAAGTACTGGGACTAAAGGCGTGCAACACCACACTAAAGGCGGCTTGTTTTTGTTTTTTTTGAGACAGTTTCTCTGTCAAGACCTTGCTATCTTGGAACTTGCTCTGTAGGCCAGACTGGCCTCAAACTCAGTGGCCTGTGCCTCCTGAGTGCTGGGATCAAAGGCCTGCACCACCACTGCTTGTCGTGTTTACTACTTTTGCAGAAGGACCCAGGATTTGATTCCTGGCACCTATATGGCACCTCACAACCGCTGTAACTCTAGTTCTGAGGGATCCAATGCCCTCTTCTGGTCTCTGGGCTCCTGAACACATGTGGTGCACATAACTCACACAAGCTCAAACACATAAATATTAAATTAATCTTTAAACTCAAAAAATTAAGGTTATCTGTCTAAAGGGGTCCCAGATCATGAATGATCAGAAAGCTTATCATTGAATTAGGCTGGAATTTTCTGATGCTCCCAGACATCTAAGTTTCAGTAAACACTGGAAGAGAAGGGAGGAACTACTTCAGGAACAGCTTGCCTGGAAATGAGCATGTCACAGCCATGGGAAGCAGGCGCTAATCATGCAAGAGATTACAATCCTGTGTAGAGCATGCCTCTCTTTGCAAGGGTGCCATCCAACAAGCTCTTGGGTAGAACTGCTTCTAGAATTCTCTGCCCAGCAGAACAGGAACTGTACCTATAGCTAGAACTTGAAAAACTGCATCAGCCAAGTCTTTGCATAACTCCTCACTTCTATGTCCATCCTGGTTTTATGCAGTAAAAGAAACTTAAGATCACAGCTGTACTTCTTTCAGCTAACTTGATTCTAAGCCGACCTCTAACGCCCACCCAATGTCCCAGGCAGCACTGCAGCTAGAGCTCTGGGACTCAGGTGCAGATCTAGATTAGTAGTAGTTAACCTGAGTCTGTGTCTGTCCAGAAAGAAAAGTTGGTGGTGGAGATGAAAATATCTGAGATTAGAGAAAGCCAGGTACTTGGTAGGAACATAGAAACGAATTTGAGAAAGCACATGCTAGATGACTTTCATTCCAAAGAAATTAATACCTTGGATCAGTGTATTCAACAAATATTTTCTCTGGGCTGGGAAGATGGCTCAGTCAGTAAAGAGACTTGCTGCCAACCTTGAAGGTCTGAGTAGCCCCTGCCTATAATCCTGGGAAAGAGTGAGAGAGGGCAGAGAGAGTTTGATCTCTGGAGGTCACTGGCCAGCCACTCAATTTGCTGAGTGAGAGTGAAAGACCCCCGAAGAGGTACTTTCGTAGAGGGAGACCCACACCCAGGAATCAGCGAGGCCACGAACTGGATGTAAAAACAAGAGGCTTTATTGGAGACGCGGGTACCCAGGGCGACTTAGCTTCAGTGTGGCTAAGCGCGCCGAGCCAAGGGAGAGGTGCCTTTTTATAGAAAAAAACACAAGCGAGGAACAGGGATTCTATTGGATGGTTCAAATGAGGCACAGAGCCATTCCAGATCAGCATATTCTCAAGGTCTGGTGTCTGGTACAACAGACTTGATTCCTCCCTCCGCGCCCAGGTGGCTGACCTTGGGACGAAGGTTCCCCAATGGGGGGGCGTGGGGGCAAGGGGTGCCCTTTTCCCGCTCGGCCCCAGCCCCGGGGCACGGTGCCAGGGCAGCCCCGCCTGGGGGAACCGGCTTGGGAGGAAAAACGGCAGCCGGGGGAAGTGCAGGCCGGCGGGGGCAGGGACAGCAGGATGAAGGTGAAGCAGGGCAGCTCTGCGGCAGCTCGCCCGCGCTGCACTCTCCAGCCCCTGGACGTATCCTGGCTCTGCCCTGCTCAGTCCCCGACGCACTGCCCTAGGTCAACTGCTCTTCTCAGCCCATCCCGGCTGCTCCAGAGAGAACCCCCAGCATCAGCATAGGTGGGGAGGGGGGGGGGAGAGACAGAGAGGCAGCGGGCCTTTCAAGAGAACCTGTCCAAACAATAAGGTGGAAAGCAAGCTTGGCAGTGGTAGCACATGCTTTTAATTGCAGCACTCAGGAGGCATAGGCAAGCAGATCTCTGTGAGTTCAAGGCCAGCCTGGTCTACAGAGTGAGTTCCAGGACAGCCAAGTCTACACAGAGAAACCCTGTCTGAAAAAACAAAAATGCATAGAACATCTCCAACATCAACTTCCGATCTCCATACCCCCCACACACAAAAAATGGCTTTTTTTTCCATACTGAGGATTGAACCTAGGGTGTGATACAATAGGCAAGCTCTCTGCACTGACTTACATCCTCAGAAAATATAATGAAAAGATGACTCTGTGTGTGCGCGTGCGCGAGGGCGAGCATACCATGGTACTCATGGGGAGCTAGCTCAGTAGACAACTTGGAGAATTCAGTTCCCTCCTTCCACCATGTGGGTCCCAGGAATCAAACTCAAATGGTCAAACGTGGCAGCAAGCACCTTTAACCTGATAACCATCCTGCAAGACCTTTTTTTTTTTTTTTTTAACTTTGAAAGATGGTCTAAGTTGCCCAAAAAAGTATTAGAATTGCTGTTGCCCTGCTTCAGTTTCTAGAACAGCTGGGATTGCATGTCTGTGACACTAGTCCCAACTATAATGTGGATTGTAGTGACATCTTGTAGATTTCTAAAAAAAAATTATAGATCTCTTAAATGCCGAGCCATTTCTACAGTTCTTACAATGGAATTTTCATCAGAATGAAACCTGGTAATTAGGGTGGGGAGTGAAAAAGAAAAACAGGGTTATTGTCTTACAGATGTAGGACAGATTATGCCTTGGCTGCTTAATGGTTTGTTGTTGATGCTGCCATTGTGGGTAAGAATTCAATATATGCATTTGGCCACACCCAATCCTGAGGAGTTAAGTCTGGGACTTAAGGATTTATCGAAATAAATGGGGAGTTTGGGGCTGGAGAGATGGCTCAGTAGTTTGAAGCACTGGCTGCTTGCTCTTCCAGAAGTTCAATTCCCAGCAGTTCACAACTGTCAATAACTCCAGCCCCAGGGAATCCGATGCACTCTACCGGCCTCCATGATCATTGCATGCACATGGTGCAGACATGAGTCACGGACTTACATAAATAAACTAGAAAATCAACAAAAAAAAGTCGGGGATGGTGGTGCGTGCCTGTAATTTCAGCTCCGAGGAAGAGAAGCCTGAGTTCTAGGCAAGTGTGGGCAACACAGAGAGACCACAGCTCTTAAAAGAATGAAGAGCTGGGCGGTGGTGTCGCACGCCTTTAATCCCAGCACTCGGGAGTCAGAGGCAGGAGGATCTCTGTGAATTCGAGACCAGCCTGGGCTACAGGATGAGTTCCAGAACAACCAGAGCTACACAGAGAAACTCTTGTCTCGAAGGAAAAAAAAAACACAATGTTCCTGAGTGGGTGGGGGAAAAAAAAACACTGAACCGGGGAAGGAGAAGGATTTTTAGGACTTTAACTCGCAAGTCTTTTGAGTTTTCCGATCTGTGCTCCTCCGACTCAGCAGCCCCCACAAAGACATAGTCACCTTGTCGCGTGCCAGGCTGGGAACCAGCGAGAAACGAGTCTTACGGCTAGAGAGGCGATGGTCCGCCGGTGGACGGGTTCGTATGACGCCATTTCCTCTTTTCCCTGTTTTGATTGGCTAAAGGGCTCGGGTGTTTTGGATTGGCCGGACTGTCTACAACCCCAGGGTGCTTTGCGGCGCTCGGTCTTTTCCGCTCGGCCGTTCTCCTGTACCGGAGGTGAGTCCCTACCGTCAGCCGCCACCATCGTGTTGCATCGGGCTCCATCGCGCTCCATCCGCCGCCATCGGCGAGGAGAGGCAGCCTGCGCAACTATGGAGGAGCCCAGGCGCCGACGGCATGGGGCCGGAGCCAGGGCAGGGCGGGAGGACTTGGGGCGGGAGCTCGGGACTCTGGCCTTCACCCGCCACCCTCCTCTCCCTCACGGCCTTAGGCAGCCATGGCGCCCAGCCGGAATGGCATGATCCTGAAGCCCCACTTCCACAAGGATTGGCAGCGGCGAGTGGACACTTGGTTCAACCAGCCGGCACGCAAGATCCGCAGGTGTGGCGCGCGGGCCCGGCGGGGTGCCCGGGGCGGGGTGCCGGAATGGACGCGTGTGGGCCGGAGGTGACTGTTGTGTTTTTACCGCAGACGCAAGGCCCGGCAGGCGAAAGCGCGCCGCATCGCCCCTCGCCCCGCGTCCGGTCCCATCAGGCCGATAGTGAGGTGCCCTACAGTGAGATACCACACCAAGGTCCGAGCTGGCAGGGGCTTCAGCCTGGAAGAACTCAGGGTGAGTTCGGCAGGGTCTCTGCGCTGAGTACTCTTGGTCTCGGTGGAATGATGACAATTCTCCGGAATCGCTGTACTGTCTTGATGAAAGTACTTTTGAACCCTTTTCCATCTGATAACGCCGAGCTTTCTCGGCGGGGGCAGCAGGGGAGGGACTTGGAGGTGTTTCATCCATTACTGTTTCTGGCTAGGTGGCTGGTATCCATAAGAAAGTGGCTCGAACCATCGGCATCTCTGTGGACCCAAGGAGACGAAACAAATCCACTGAATCACTACAGGCCAATGTGCAGCGCCTGAAGGAGTACCGCTCCAAGCTCATACTTTTCCCCAGGAAGCCTTCTGCTCCCAAGAAGGGAGACAGTTCTGTGAGTACAGCGGGTCTTCGTGGTGTTGGGTTTGGTTCAGTGTAGATGAGTCTGCCTGGGTCCCGCTCTGCTGAGGTGACACTGCGGCGGTACAAGTCATGTGTGAGCCACTGAAATCCCTGTGGTTTTCTGTCCTAATGGAAGGTTATTGGCTTGGGGCCTGACTTGCTATTTGATGGTTTGCCCCCTACAAGGTCATCTAGGAACATTTTTGGACGTCTAGTATTTTAGTATTCAGGAATGCAAAGAACATAGACATTTAACAAGCATCAGGGGTATCTGTCGTTATGGGCTTCCTCAGAGTGGGATTAGAAGAAGGTGGATTTGTTCTGTCCCCTCAATCGAACAGGACCCTCCCCTGTGCCTAGTAAGCCAGCACATGGGGGCCATGAAATGCTGAGGGCTACAGGCCTAGGCAGCCTGCTCATTAGGAACAAACTGCACCCAGGGCGATGAGTGTGAAAGACAAAAAGGGAGCTGGACTCAACTTTTCTTCTTAAACAGGCTGAAGAACTGAAACTGGCCACCCAGCTAACGGGACCTGTGATGCGCATACGGAATGTAAGTTAATGCTTGAAGTTAAGATTGGCGGATTTTGTTTTGGGGGGGGGGTTTCTATCCCTAGCCATCCTGTGCTGTAGGCCATGCTGGCCTTGAACTCTGAGATTTACTTGCCTCCTGAGTGCCAGGGTTAGAGGTGTGTGCCGCCACCTGGCTAACCTTCATCTTTTTAACGGGTGGCATTGTTTTGCTAGTTGGGGTGGGGGACTTTTTTCCCAGCCTGAAGGGGGCGTGGCATGTGTCTGTTGCTGTGATAAAATGCCATGGTCGAAACCAAGTTTGGTTTACACTTTCACATTATGGTCCTTCATTGAAGAAAGAAAGAGGTCCATTATTGTAGGTAAGAGCTGATGCAGAGGCCGTGGAGACTGGTGCTGCTGTAGAATCCAGCACTACCATTTCACAGTCATATTCACTGTGTAGACCAGAAAGTTCTGCTTCCTTAGTGCTGGGATTAAAGGTGTGTGCCACTATGGCCCAGCTTTACTGCCCTGTCTTTTTGCTGGATGCATTTTCCCATTGAGACTCGTAAAATTAGCCAACACATATTCTTAACTGAAGTCATGACTAGTTATTTTCTGAACGGGGTCTCTGTGTGTAAGCCAAAGCTTGCTTTGTAGTCTACCCAGGATTCTCCTACCTCAAACTTCCAAGTACTGTGGTAACTTACATGATCCTGGAAGAATCCTGTCTCTGTCACTCCTGAGAGTTGAGGCAGAGTTACAGTTCTGTGGACAGGTTGCAATTCAAACCACCTTGACTTACGTCTTTTTCCAGGTCTACAAAAAGGAGAAAGCCAGAGTTATCACAGAAGAAGAGAAGAACTTCAAGGCTTTTGCCAGTCTTCGTATGGCCCGGGCCAATGCCCGGCTCTTTGGCATCTGAGCAAAAAGGGCAAAGGAAGCTGCAGAGCAAGATGTTGAAAAGAAAAAGTGATGTGCTATTGGAGTACTGCAATAAAACTTTGCATAAAGCAAAAGCTGGATGTTGTGCTTTGTCTATATATATGCCTGTGTGAGAGTGCTGGGTCCACTGGAACTGGAGTTAGGCAGCTGTGAGCTGCCACATGGGTGTTGGCAATTGATCCTGTGTCCTCTGGAAGAGCAGCCAATGTTCTTAATCACTAAGCCATTTCTCCAGCCTCTGCATCTTTTTTCTTGGGAGCAGTAGAGTAGCCTGTGTTTTGTCAGCTCTTCTGTTTTAGAAAGCACTCCCAAGAGATAGTTTCCATTGCATCATTGAGTCTTGTATTTATTTCAGTGTGAGCTTTGGAAAGGTGCCTATTAATGCCAGGTGCTGAGCTCAGTGTATTGCACACATAGTAAACACTGCAGCCCTGGCCCTAAAAGTTTGTTTTTTTACCCAAAGCAGTTTCCATTAGCATGCCAAGTCTTCGGGTGGCCACAGTCTACTATATCAATAGATGCAGTGTGTTCATTAACCTTGTGAAAGACTGGCATTTGGATATTGTAGAAATTTGCCCTTTTTCTGATTTGAGGTGCTTCCCATCCTGACATTGGCTTGGATCCTTGGCTCTATTCTGCCCTGCTTTGTGTAGGCACTCTGCATTACAAACACCAGGGAGAGCCCCAGAGACGGATTTGGAGGCCTGGGGTAGTTTTTTTTTTTTCTTGCACTCAAAAAGTTGGCCTAGTGAAGCCGTTAATCAAATGCTGGTGGCATTTGGCTGTGAATAGGCCTTCAGTGAATAGAGGTAGTCTGAAGGGTCCCTGGTAGCACAGGCTTACCTTTGAGCCCACCTTGTTGGGCACTGGAAACAAGATATGTGGGAGACACTAAACATTAGATTTGGTCATTTGTGAACCCTAAGTGGAAAGTAACATGGTCCCTACTAATTAAACTATCAGACTGGAGACTTTTAGCAGTGTTTTAATGCCGGTGGCAGGTTCAATATTCTGAGTGGCCACAAGGGGGCATAGGTCCCTCTTTTGTGTGTGGAAAACTAGTAACTTGATACATAGATTAGTCTGGCCTCAAAACTAAGGTCCACCTACCTCTGGCTTCCTTTGGTTTTAAATATGTCTTTAATGCTGGGCATGGTGGCGCACGCCTTTAGTCCCAGCCCTCGGGAGGCAGAGGCTAGTGAGTTCGACACCAACTCGGTCTACAAGAGCTAGTTCCTGGACAGCCTCCAAAAGCCACAGAAAAACCCTGTCTCGAAAAAAAAAATGTTTTTAATCCCACCAGGGTGTGGTGGTACATTCTTTTAATTCCCCTTAGGAGGCAGAGGCAAGAGGATCCCGTAGGTAGCCGTGGATAGCGTGAAACCCAGGCTAGCCACTGCCTCCCAAGTTCTGGAATAGGTGTTTGCCACGATTCCTTGCATTCTTTTACATACATGTGTGTGTGCGCCTTCGTGAGTTTATGTGCACTGTGGACCTGCAGGTGCTGGCTATAAGCTACCACGTGGGTGCTGGGAACATTGGATCCTCTGTAAGAGGACCTGTTTGAATGGATAGACTTGTTGAGGGATGTAATAGACTGTTGGGTGAGTTGTAATGGAGGTGCATCAGATCCCGCTGGAACTTCAGGTAAAGGCTTTTGTCAAGGTGCTGGAGAGATTCGCTCAGTGGCTGAGAGCGATAGCTACCAGGACCAGGATTCAATTTTTACCACCCACATAGTTGTTCACAACCATCTATAACTCTAGTTCTAGGGGATGTGAAGCTGCCTTCTCGCCTATGGAAGCAGGATGATCTCATGTGCACAGAGATAGATGCAAAATACACAACACACACAATTTTTAAAAAAATCTTTTAAAGATACTTAGGAGTGGTGACTAGAGAGATGGCTCAGCGGTTAAGAGCACTGATTGTTCTTCCAGAGGTCCTGAGTTCAATTCCCAGCAACCACATGGTAGTTCACAACCATCTATAATGAGATCTGGTGCCCTCTTCTGGCCTGCAGTCAGAAGACTGCATACATAATAAAAAAAATAAAATAAACCGGGCATTGGTGGATCCCGCCTTTAATCCCAGCACTCGGAAGGCAGAGGCAGGTGGATCTCTGTGAGTTTGAGGCCAGCCTGGTCTCCAGAGCCAGTGCCAGGATAGGCTCCAAAGCTACACAGAGAATCCCTGTCTCAAAAACCCCCCCAAAAAAATTAAAAATAAAAAATAATAAAAAAAAGATACTATGAGCTCTCAGACTTGGATATTGGGAACTAAACACAGGTCCTCTATAAAAGGAAGTGCTTTTAACCTCTGGGCCATTCCTCTACCCCTTTCCTTGCTTTGATACGGGGTTTTATTTTATCATGTAACCTGTGAAGACTGGTCTGAAGTTCATTGTGTAGTCTAGGTTGGCCTTGAACCCAGCTGCCTCAGCCTCCTCAGTACTGGGAGTGCAGGCATGTACTCTCC